GCGCACGCCGCCGGTGAACGGGGCGACCGGCTGAAATCTACTTCCCACGGCCGAGTAGATTCACTGATTTGTCGAGCTCTGCTAATTATTTTGCTTCCCTTTTCTGAACTTTTTCCAATGCCAATATATCTTTGTTGAGATAAGGTGACCACATCTGCATGCAATATTCAGGATGTGGTGTACCACGATAAAGAGGCATTGCAATATTCTCTGTCTTATTCTAATCCCTTTCTTAATGACTCCTAACATTCTATTTGCTCTTTTGACTGCTGCTGCACATTGAGTGAATGTTTTCAGAGAACTATCCACAACGACTCCAAGATCTCTCTGGAGTGGTATCAGCTAATTTGGACCCCCTCATTTTATATGTATAGTTGGGATTATTTTTTCCAATGTACATTACTTTGTATTTATCAACATTAAAATTCATCTGCCATTTTGTTGCCCAGTCACCTAGTTTTGTGAGACCCTTTAGAAGCTCTTCACAGTCTGCTTTGGACTTAACTGTCTTGAGCAATTTTTGATCATCTGCAAATCCACCTCACTGTTTAGCCCTTTCTCGAGATCATTTCTGAATATGTTGAATAGGATTGGTCCCAGTACGCAGCCCTGTGGGTCACCTCTCTCCATTCTGAAAACTGAACCATTTATTCCTACCCTTTGGTTCCTGTCTTTTAACCAGTTCTCAGTTCATAAGAGGACCTTTCCTCCTATCCCATGACAGCTCACTTTGCTTAAGAGTCTTTAGAGAGGGACCTTTCTGGAAATGTAAGTACACTCTGTCCACTGGATCGCCCTTGGTCACATGCTTGTTGACCCCCCTCAAAGAATTCTAGTAGATTGGTGAGGCCGAATTTCCCTTTTACAGAAACCGTGTTGACTTTCCCCCCAACAAATTATGTTCCTCTCTGTGTCTGACATAATTTCAACCAATTTGTTCTGTACTAAAGTTAGATTTACCAGCTTGTGATTGCCAAGATCACCTCTAGAGCCCTTTTTAAACATTGGCATCACATTAGCTGTCCTCCAGTCATTTGGTACAGAAGATCTTTTAAAGGATAGGTTGCAAACCACGGTTAGTAGTTCTCAATTTCACATCTGAGTACCTTCAGAGCTCTTGGGTGAATGCCATCTGGTCCCTGTGACTTCTTGTTTAGTTTATCAGCCTGTTCAAAACCTCCTCTAATAACACCTCAATCTGGGACAATGCCTCAGATTTGTCACTTACAAAGAATGACTCAGGTTTGGGAATCTTCCTTGCGTCCTCAGCCGTGAACCCCGATGCAAAGAATTCATCTAGTTTCTCCAAGTGACCTTATCATCCTTGAGTGCTCCTTTAGCAGCTCCATCATCCAGCGGCCCCACTGGTTGTTTAGCAGGCTTCCTGCTTCTGATGCACTGAAAAAGGTGGTGATGTCTCTTTCTAGGAAGATGTTTTAGCTACAGTCTATCCTGGAAACAATTATTGGAGCTTATTTTCAAAGAGGTATATTAAATAGTTTCAAATAAATAAATCAGTAGGACTAATGAACAGTTAAAGACCTTGCTGTAAAAGCTTCTTGCTTATATTGACAAAGCCCTGGCTTCGAGCAGGGCGTTGGACAAGATGACTTTCCAACCCTAATCTTCTATGATTCTATAACAATGCGGCTGGTTATTCGTTGCCCTTTTCTGAATTTTGGGGGTCTATGGGTGGCCCGTGAGACATTTTGTTTCCCATTGCTCACGCGCAGGGTTGTCAGATGCCACTGGTTTCGATTCACAGAGGGCTTTTCCCCCATTGGTGTCACTAAAGTGACACACAGAAAGCAAGATCGTGTGACGCCGCATGAGTGGCCCTCCTGCATTTCAGTAGCTGCAAGACTGTCGTACCCAAGCTGGTCTCCTGGGATAGGGCAGGTCTGCTCATGGGACAGGCGCACCTACAATGAGTGGGGCGGGCCAACGGACCCGTAGCAGTGCTGTGATTGGACGCAGAGTGAGCACATAACTCTCAGGCTACGGCTACATTGCTGGGTTTTTCTGGAAGAAGATATGCAAATGGCGCTCGCATTTGCATATCTTCTTCCGATTCTTTTTGTGGAAGAGGTTTTGCTGATTTTTGGCCCCATTTAGACGAGGTCAAATGTTGGAAACAACCCTCTTTCACAAGACCCTGTAAACCTCGATTTACGAGGAATAAGGGGTCTTGTGAAAGAGGGTTTTTTTCCTACATTGGGCCCTGTCTCTTCCGCAAGAAGAATCGGAAGAAGATATGCAAATGCGAGCGCCATTTGCATATCTTCTTCCAAAAAACCCCAGCAATGTAGCCGTAGCCTGAGAGTCATGTGCTCCCTCTGCGTCCAATCACAGCACTGCTACGGTGCAACTAGCACGCCCCACAGATTCTAGGCACGCCGGCGCAGTGAGCAAAACAACCTTAGCCCGGGAGAGCATCTTGGTTAGGACAACCTTGCGGCCCATTGAGATGAAGGAGGGCCACTCATTCTGCCCCTTCGCCAGCCTAGATTGCCCCTCTCTGAGGCAATTCAGGGGCGGTGCCCAGAGACAAAACATGACACACCAACAGAGGTGTGATGGAAAGCTACCTCTCCCTCCATGGTAAAAATGCCTGTGGCTGTTGGCACCTCACAAAAGCACCCCCTCTTCCCCACCAGACCTCCCTATTTCTGCAAAGCACCATTTCCCCATGCAGAACATGTTTGAAATATTATCCAGTTGGCACCGTTTTATATAATGTCCAGCTATCGTGCACAGACTGAAACCACAGGAATTCGCACATCAGAGCAGGGGTAAGGCCAGGGCTTCAGAGAGGGCTGATCCGGATTGCCTTCCTGTATCTGCTTTAGGGTTTCTGGATAACTTCTTGCCACTCTCTTACCCACCCCGTGCCTCAGTTTCCCCATTTATACCATTAGAAGAATGACACTTCCCTCCTCACAGGGGTCCTACCAAGAAAAGTACTGAAGTACCTGCTTAAATCCCACTAGAACTGGTTGGGAATTTCTTGGCAAACCATTTTCTTGTCAGAAAATGCTGATTAGTGAAAATCAAAACAGGAAAGGCTCAGTTGGGCCAAATGACTGGACTCAGACACGTTGACAAACAAGTTTTGAAACTGCAAAAATATAACCCATATAGCGGGAAGTATGTTTTGCTTTGTATGTGGGTAATACATTGTTCATAGTCACAACAGTATTTCCATAGGAACATATGGCTGGTGTTATAGCTGTGTATCAATTATACTTTTTGCTTTGTTTCTCTAATGATATTTATTACACAGCATCTGATACAGGATTTTAAGTTACTGTAAAGCGTATGCAGAGTAAATGTGATAGAAGACATGGATGCTTTCTGCAGAAATCCCCTCCCCCCCCCGTCATAGGCAATGGTTTCCGTGTTAGACTATGGAAACAATTCTTGAAATGCTTGTGTTCCACTTCGCCCCGAACAGAGAATCAGGAGCCAGGACTGAACCCGGGATGCGTAGGTCAACATATGAGCCACCACTGCCTGAGCTAAACGACATAAGAATGGCCATATTGGGGGAGGCCAATGGTTGATCTAGCCCAGTCTCCCACAGTGGCCAGTGCTAGTTGCTTCAGAGAGAACGAACAGGCGTGACCCATCCCGTCATGGCCGTCCAGCGCAGGGCAACAGAAATGATGAGGGGGCTGGAGCACCTGAACAGAATAGGAAGCAAAGGAAGGAAGGAAGGAGTCTAGGAAGGAGTCCTGCAGAAAGCGATCTAGGGGTCGTAGTGAACCACAAGCTAAATATGAGTCAACAGCGTGACACTGCTGCAAAAAAAGCAAACACCGTTCTGGGAGGCATTCACAGGAGTGTTGTGAGCAAGACAAGAGAAGTCTTTCTTCCGCTCTGCTCTGCGCTGATTAGGCCTCAGCTGGAGTATTGTGTCCAGTTCTGGGCACTGCATTTCAGGAAAGATGTGGAGAAATTGGAAAGGTCCAGAGAAGAGCAACAAGAATGATTAAAGTTCTAGAAAACATGAGCTATGAGGGAAGGCTGAAAGAATTGAGCTTGTTTAGTTTAGGAAACAGAAGACCGAGAGGGGACATGAGAGTGGTTTTCAGGTATCTAAAAGAGTGTTACAAGGAGGAGGGAGAAAAATTGTTCTACTTTGCTTCTTGTCCTATTCTCAGAGGCCATGGGCTTAAATTGCAGCACGGGAGGTTTAGGTTGGACAAACTTCCTAACTATCTGAGTGGTGAGACACTGGAATAAATTGCCTAGGGAGGTTGTGGACTCTCCTTCACTGGAGATATTGAAGAGCAGGTTGGACACACACCTGTCAGGGATGATCAGACAGTGCCCTGGTCCTGCCATGAGGGCAGGGCCTGGACTCGATGACCCCTCAAGGTCCCTTCCAGTTCTAGGGTTCTAGGATCCTGCAGGGGAGCAGCTGCGACCAAAACACCATTCAGTGAGGGCTGCTTCAGTTCCCACTGCAACCGGTGTCTTTCCATTGACTTCAGTGGAAGTTGGACCAGGTCTGGTGAGGTCACCCACTGCATGCTGTGGACAGAGGTACTGCCAGAGGACCTTACACCCACTTATATTAGGCAGCCAAAGGCTTGTTCCACTCTGGGCCCCCTGGAGGCCAGCAATCAAGTTCATCTTGTTTCTTCCACCTCACAGGCGAACGCTCAGACAACCTCCTGGCCTGTCGAGCTTAGCTAACATTTGGCACCTGGGTAGCCAGAGACCAGACTGTCTGGTCCAGCTACTCCGCCCCAGGAGTGGGGGTTCTGAAGGCGACGCGCCCCCTTGAAGCAGAAGTAGCTTGTGTGCACATGCGTGTTCGTGACCCTGGCGCCATGCAGTTCAGTCGCTGTGCTTACAAATGGCTGAAGGAACTGGGGAACGTTTCCCTGAGCTAAGCATGTGGGATGGGGCCGCTCTTGCTTCCGCTTCGTTCCGGTGGGGCGTTGCGGGTCCGGTGCGTGTTCACTTCCGGCGGTTGTCGCCCCTCTCTGCAGACGGGGAGATCACTTCCAAGCCGATGGTGCTGTTCTTGGGACCGTGGAGTGTTGGCAAATCCACCATGATAAACTACCTCCTAGGGCTGGACGACACGCCCTACCAGCTGTACACAGGTACCGTGCGCTCCGGCTCGCCCATTGTTTCTGCTTAACGTGCTGTGCAAAGGGGACACGGAGGCGCTGTCGCTCGTACAGGCACTTCGAGTCCGTTCCAGCCAGAGCACGGCTGGTAAACACTGTCCCAGCTGCTCTCTGAGCCGCCCTCTTTACTCATTACAACCCCCCGGCGGTTAGGTGACAACCACGGCTCTGCTCAGGGGGGGCTTGAATGGTCCTCTGGGCCGCGCCTGTAAGACTGCTCCTGTATGCAGAGAGAGAGATGTGATTTTTCCTCCCCTTTCCAGCTCTCCCCCAAGATCAAACTGTGCATCTACCTTCCTGTGGGCCATAGGCTCTGCTAGCCTGGTAGGACGTTGCACTGCAGGTCACCTTCCAGGCCGGCAGAGCGATAATCCTCTAACAAGGGGAACTTGCCCTTTTCTTCTCTTTCCCCTCCACACATGGAGCCAATTAATTTCCTTTAACGACAGGTGTGACATTTCCCAGCGCCGCTGCTCAGCTCCGACTCCCTTTGCTTCCTGGACACAGCTGAGGGGAGCACTGCTGAACTGAAACCTGTAGCGAGTTCAGTTTGGGGGGGTGGGGAGAGTCAAGGCACTAGACAGCAGAGCAGGAATTGGGCCTTTGTCATGCTTTTCATGTTTGCAGTAGATTAACAACAGCAGGAAGTAACTCCTGCACTCATACATCTATGGAATAGCTACAGCTGGTCTTCACTACAGAGTGAAGTCGATGTAAGGCAGCCTGTATCGGCCTGGCTCTATAAGCCCTCTATGCTAAAATGTAGCTGCTGGTGGTGTAAGTCGCCCACTACGCCCACTTAATGCCACCTTCACAAGAGATGTAGCCCACAGGTCAGTGTTGTTAGGTCGATGCTCAGTCAGGCCAGGTCTACACTAAGGGGGAAGAGCGAATCAAGATACACAACTCCAGCTACATTAATTACATAGCTAGAGTTGACGTACCTTGTTTCGAGTTTCCACACCATTCCCACAGCGGGAAGCAGGAACAGGAGTGCTGGCCACCAATGGGGGCACTCTCTGAGTTTGATTTAGCAGGCCTTAACTAGACCCGCTAAATCAAACTCCAGAAGATCAATTGTAGCAGTGTCGATCTTCTGCTTAGTGAAGACATGGCCTCAGGGTAGACACTGTCACCTACCTTGACTCTTGAGGGCTTTCAGAAGCCAGCCCACGCTGCTCCAGGCTGGCAGTTCAAGCCATGCAAGCGCTCCAGGCGAGGAGGGGCACTACCGCCACAAGGAGCAAGCCATTTAATGACTGCGGTGGCTGCACATTGAGCTAACTTAGGCTGACAATTCTGTAGTGTAGACTTGCATGACATTTCTACAAGGCTCGAGGTATATAATATTGTAAGATGCTCTCTGACCTCACTTGCCAGTACCTGATGCGTTGCAATCATGAGTAAGCAGGTTTCTGCCCAGATAGTCACCTGCTCTGCTTCTCTTATTCCTGGACAGGGGCCGAACCAACCACCTCTGAGTTCACGGTCATCATGCATGGCCCAAAGCTGAAGACCATTGAGGGCATTGTGATGGCCGCTGACAGCGCCCGCTCCTTCTCGCCCCTCGAAAAGTTCGGGCAGAACTTCCTGGAGAAGCTGATCGGGATAGAGGTGCCTCATAAGCTCTTAGAGAGGGTCACCTTTGTAGACACGCCGGGCATCATTGAAAACCGCAAGCAGCAAGAACGAGGTAGTCACCTGCTGGGCTCATTTTAAGAGACCCCAGAAAAGAAGGCGCAATATGAATGTGAGCGAATCCCAGTCCCTTGCTGTCTGTCACGTGACCACAAAGCACTTTGCAAAGGAGGCTGTAGCATTATCCCTGGCTAACCGATGGGGAAATGAAGGCACAAAAAAAGATACAACAACTGTTCCAGGAAGGGAATCCAGTCAAACCCTGTATCCATTAGGGCACATGCAATAAAGAGCCAGTGAGGAGGAGGAGCAGGGAGAGGGGGGATGAGGATGTTTATTTAAGTTGCAGCCGCACTGAAATTTTGCCTGGGTTTATAACGGCAGCCTCGCAGGGACCTCAGGGACACACCCAAAATTCATAAAACAGAGCCAAGACAGCCGTGTTCCTCTGTGGCCTTTGGGCTGTACTTAGCCTATGGGTTGCGCTTCGCCCATCATTTTCTATCGCATTCTTAGCCCTTTGATCCCAGCCCCTGCCACAGCCTCTGTGCTAAAGCAGGACATGACGGAGCACTACCCCTTCCGGGGTAACGTGTCTCACACCTGGAGAGCATGCTGGGTTGGGCACCCCATATGCTAGATATGTTAGGGAGCAGTGGGGTGGCCAAAGCATGGCCTTAGAAAACAAACAGAGCCCAGGGAATCAACAGCAGGCTCCAGAGAAAACGGACGTTTGGAATTGACTTGGAAGGAATTTCATTTCGGAAGACACAAAACACACTTCCAGCCACGAGGGGGCAGCAGAGTGTGCAGCAGAGCAGGCCCAGAGGCGAAAGGCAGTACTGTTATTACAATGTTTGGATTGTCCTCTAAAATCTGTTATTTAACTGGATGATCATCCGCGCATTAATTACACACATTAAATGGCCTCCCCGCTTCCGCTCTCATAACGTCTCCCTGAAATCCGGGAGAGGAGGGGGGCAGATTCCGGCCCCAGGGCAAAACTTCTATTAACTTTACTGGGGCCAGGATTTTACTAGAGAACTCCAGCTAAGCTAGTCTGCAGAAAAGAAGAGCGAGGGGGGATTTGACAGCAGCCTTTAACTCCTTGAAGGGGGGTTCCAAAGAGGATGGAGAGAGGCAGTGGTGACAGATGTCAGTGGTGACAGATGGCAGAACAAGGAGCAATGGTCTCAAGTTGCAGATGGGGAGGTCTAGGTTGGATATTAGGAAAAACTATTTCCCTAGGAGGGTGGGGAAGCACTGGGCTGGGTTCCCTAGGGAGGGGGTGGAATCTCCATCCCTAGAGATGTTTAAGTCCCGGCTTGACCAAGCCCTGGCTGGGATGATTGAGTTGGGGCTGGTCCTGCCTTGGGCAGGGGGCTGGACCTGGTGACTCCCGAGGTCTCTTCTAGCTCTAGGATTCTATGATTCTAAGGCACGAGCACCAAGTGCAGGTGGATTGTGGCTATTGGTGCTGAGATGCTCTGCGATGGCCGTGGTAGCTGAGATTTCCCACTCCATGAGTGTCTAGGTCGGAAGGGTGCTGGGGTAGGGTGGGTTTGTGTTGTTTCTATGCTGTTGTCTGCAGAGATCCATCCTGGGTTGGAGGTGGACATTTCTGTATGATTTGTCTCTCTCCTCTCCCAAAGGTTATCCATTCAACGATGTGTGCCAGTGGTTCATCGACAGAGCAGACCTCATCTTTGTCGTCTTTGACCCTACAAAGCTGGATGTGGGGCTGGAGCTGGAAATGTTGTTTCGCCAGCTGAAGGGCCGGGAGTCTCAGATCAGAATAATCTTGAACAAAGCGGACAGTCTCGTCACCCAGGAACTGATGAGAGTCTATGGCGCTTTGTTCTGGAGCTTGGCTCCTCTGATCAACGTCACGGAACCTCCCCGGGTCTACGTCAGCTCCTTCTGGCCACTGGAGTATCAGCCTGAAACCCACAAGGATCTGTTCCTGAAAGAAGAGATCTCACTCCTGGAAGACATGAACCAGGTGATTGAAAACAGGCTGGAGAATAAGATTGCCTTCATCCGCCAACATGCCATCCGGGTGCGCATCCATGCTCTCCTGGTCGACCGCTATCTGCAGACCTACAAGGACAAAATGACCTTCTTCAGCGACGGGGAGCTGGTCTTCAAGGACATTGTGGATGACCCGGACAAGTTCTACATCTTCAAGTCCATCCTGGCGAAGACCAATGTCAGCAAGTTTGATCTCCCCAACCGCGAGGCTTATAAGGACTTCTTCGGCATCAACCCCATCAGCAGCTTCAAGCTGCTTGCTCAGCAGTGCTCCTACATGGGGGGCTGTTACCTGGACAAGATAGAAAGGGCCATTACTCACGAGCTGCCCGACCTCTTGGGGAGCATTGGCTTGGGGAAAAAGCCCAGCGTTCTCTCCTGCGACACGACTGGCTGTGGGGAAAGCCCAAGGAACCGCTATAGGAAACCGTAACGTGCGATCGACTAATGTCACCATTCATGTGCTCCTATTGGTGAATGAGCTTATGTCTTATCTGTCCAAGAAGCCGTGGTTTATTAACCCTTTGAGTGCCACACTGGAATGAACTCCTGCACAACAAGGCCTTTGAGGTGCTGACATTAAAGGCCAGGGAAGCTGGGTGGGCATGGAAAAGAATAAAGAACTGTGAATTCCTGGCATTTTTCTCTTGGTTATTTGCAACGCAAAGCAGCGTTGTAAGTGGTCAGTGAAAGCCATACACGTTGACCTAACGCTGTTGCTGCTTTTCCCACTGGTGCTGATGTTCGGGAGTGCGGATGAAGAAGTCCAACCTTTGCATGCACTAAGCAGCTGGGGAGTGAGAAACGCAGACTCCGCAATGATAGCCAGGAGGAAGGCTCTTGACTGAGAGCAGGGGTGGCCAACCCACGGCTTGCGAGCTGCATGCGGCTCTCCCTCCCTTCCCCCCCACCCCGAAAGTGCATCTCGTGAAGCCACCCGGGCACCCCTGAAAACAGCTCCTGGCTCCCTGTGCTCTCCGGGACAGGGGAGCCGTCAGGTGCGACCTCGGGGAGGGGGGAGCCCTGCAGTGCAGCCATTCAAAATGACGTCTTCAAGATGGTGGCAGCCGGTGGGAGCCTGATGTGGCCAAAAAGCCTTTAAACACATTTCTTAAAGGGGAAGGCCATTTTTTTTTTGCCCCAGCTCTTTGCGCTGTATCCACTGCTATTTTGGCTCTTTGTACGGAACGGGTTGGCCACCCCTGACCGAGACAGTCGCTGTATCCACTGCTATTTTGGCTCTTTGTACGGAATGGGTTGGCCACCTCTGACCGAGACAGTCAGAGAGGGGCACCTTTGTGGAGAGAGAGACCCTGTACCTAGGCACGAGGACCATGGCAACGCCCCTAAATAAATAATCTGTTTTCTTTCCAAGGCCTGTAGGCCATCAGCTTTAGTTCTTTGTGAGCTCCATGTGGATGGCAGTTGAGCGGTAATTCAGAATCTTTAGCATTCGTCCTCTCCT